ATGGGCATCAACTAGCCAAATGAACAAGAAAATTCATGCGACAAGATCACGGAGTTATGTGTAGATTATTCTGTAATTTATGCTGTGCTACCTGAAAGAAGAACTCAGACATGTGGTCTCTAAACATCAGTTTTCTTTTTTAACTTACAAGGGAGATGCACAGAGATATCACTGAGTTCAAATTCAATTATATTTTTGCCCATGGGGTTTCTTTTATATAGAATAAAATCAAGGGAAATGCTTCACCTCTCTGGATTGGCTCCACTAACAACCTCCAGGAATGCATGGAGGCACAGCACAGCAGGGGTAAAAACCTCCTAGTTAAGGCAGAAACATCTGCTTTAAAAAGATATAGGTGATACATGGACAACTAAAGCAGAGGATAGATGACGTAGCATCAGCAGGCTAACTACGGAGGGAATACATTGATATACATTGCTTGGATGCTTTTACTCAGTGAACCAAGTTCTCCTCAGGTTTTCAGTTCAATGTCTGCTAAGCTCTGTTCTGCTTGGCATCTCTGGCCCTTCACCAACTGGCAAGTTATTTATTTCTCTAAAAATGTTTACTCATCTGTTAAATGAAAATAGTAATATCTCCACTCCCCTCCTTCTTCTTCCTCCTTCTTTAAAGGCTCCATAATCTAGGGGAGGGACAGTGTTAAATGGTCCAACCCCAGAGTTTAGAGTTTGCCACAGACATTTACATCCTGAACCTGTGGAGTGGGGTCTAAGATGGGCTGGGCTACATAGGGTGGAGTAAGGTTCCTGATTTCTGAAGGCAGATCTCCCAGAATAATCTCCTGTAACAGACTAACCATGAAGAAAGATGAAAGGCAAGATGAGTGAATACAGGTCAGAGGTCCCCTTTCTACCTGCTCCCTTTCTCCCTGCTCCTTTTCTGGTTATAAATCCCTGCTTCCAAGTTGTAAAGTCATATTTTATCACAGGTCTTCCTAAGGAATCCATCCATCCCCCAGTCCCTCCATAGCCACATTCTGGCTAAAGGACTCTTTTCAGATGAAAGGATTCTAGCTTCTCAGTGATGAATGCTGCTACTTCTCATCACCCTCTGACATGTAGTAGCTATGTGACCTCTGGGTCTATTTCATCTTCTGTAAAATGAGGGAGGTTGGATTAGAGTGTCTCCTAAATATAAATACACAATTCTAGGTTAACTCATTCTCTTCCCTCTTCCTCCTTCTTTTCAATTCTCCCTCACCACATCATCTGATCAATGAAAGAATCGTCAGAAACATTTGAGTAGCCCTGCCTGGGATTGGGAATGGAGATTAGCTCTGGGATCTGGACCTAGAATAACCTCGGGAGTAGAGCCCTGATGCTATTAAATCAGTGAATCAATCAGCGTTTGTTAAAACCAGAAAGCCTGAGTTCCTAGGCCTACCATTAGGTGGTGACCTTGGAAATAAAGTGGCTTTCAATGTGATAAAATAGGCAGCTTGGCATATTGGATTTGGATTCTGGAAGACCTGAGTTATATTCCTACCTGTGACATTAATTTTGTGAACCATGCTTGATTGGAGGGAGTTTCTGCATCAATAAAATCCTTGCTTTTTGGTAACTGCTTACCTAAGTAAGAGGCATCAGAGGGAGAGACCTGAAGCTGGAAGTTGAATCAGGAAGCTTTCCCAACAGTTCACAAAGGAGGTAATAAGTATCTGAACTTGGGTGATTGTCATTGAGAATGAAGTGAAAGGGACTAGTAGCAGGAAGGGGGACTATAAGCCATTTAGTCAATTCCCTCCTTTTACATATTAGGAAACTAAGGTCTGGAGGGGAGCTGTGCCTGTCTGAGACTGAATTGAAAACTGTTTTCTATTAATGCTGCTTGTGGAAGAAGAGTTCTAGGTAACTAGATGGTTTAAATGTTTTTAACTGTAGTCAGATTAGGGAAAGAGTGAATCAATCAACAAGCATTTGTTTTATTTTGAATTTTAAGATATTTTATTTTTTCCCAATTACATGTAAAGATAAATTTTAACATTCAGCTTTTAAAATTGAGTTCCAAATTCTCTCCCTCCCTCCCCACCTCTCCCCTCTTTGAAATGGTAAGCAATTTGATATAGGTTATACATGTGTAATCATGCAAAACATTTCTATATTAGTTAGTTGTGAAAGAAGACATAGACCAAAGAAGGACAAAACATGAAAAAGTGAAAAACAGTATGCAGTTTTTTGACACTGTTGACCACCCTATCCTCCTTGATTCTCCTTTCTAGGTTTTTGGGACATTGATGAGCCACTGCTCAGATTTTTAGAAATATAACAAGGTTTATGGTTGCTGGAACCCCAAAACCACAAAACTCGAGTCCTGTCTACAAGAATTCAACCCAAGCCTTCTTTCAGCCAAAAACAAGGTTTATTAAAGATCCTCCATATTACTAGACTCTTGAGGAATCTAAGACTCTACAAGTATTGGCTAGATTATAAGAATCTGAGCATCTTAATGGAGACAAGATGGACCTTATATACAGAAAGACTGTGGGAGGGATCTAGAAGAGGCCAAGTAGTTTGGGGTGACTGGAGGAGGGGTCTAAGGAAGATCTGAATGGGAGTGTGGGAAATGAGGGGGGGAATAGGGAGGGCTAGGTGACAGAATTGGGAGCTTTGGTGTAGCCACAAAGAAATGCCAGTTGATGGGATTATAGCCTCAGGTAAACTCCAGAGATTTGGCCATGTGGGAAAGTCCAGAGTGTTTTTTCTTTTTGGGTTTTAGCTCCCATCCTCAATCTCATCAGCTCCCATGGATTTAATTATCCTCTCTATACTGATGATTCTCAAATCTACTTATCTTGCCCCAAAATCCCTAATATATTCCCCCTTCTCTCCTCTAAGACTGCCAATGCTCTAGTGTAAGCCCTTTTCACTTAATACCTAAACTATTGCAATAATAGCCTGTTGGTGGGTCTGCCTGTCTCAAGTGTCTCTACTGAGTGGCCAAAGTAATTTTCCTAAAGCACAAATCCAATCATGTTGATTCAATTTGAGGTGCTGGCAACTCTAAAATATAAGGGCACAGGGCAACTGGCTACCTGGAAAGAATTTGAGCACACAAGCCTTTCAACCCAATTAGTAGGTTTATTGTAATGCCAATAGAGTTGGCTAGAGTCCCAGTAAATCTCTGGCTTGATATGGATGGGACTGATACTTATATAAAAAAAAAAGAGGGGTGGGGAAGGGTCAGTGAACAGATCTTGATAGGATTAAGGAATGGTAAATAGCCTGGGGTGGGCCAGGTGCAACAATGAAAAGACCTAGATGGGAGTAAAGAGTATTGAGTGATGAGGTTTCAGAGGTTCAGGGACCCCTCAAGAGCTGAAGTACAGGACAGGGTCATCTGGAATGAATCCATGGACTCAAATATTCTTTAAGTCAAGTTGGCAAGTGCTTATCATAATGTTAATGTGGCAGGCAGAACTCCTTAAGTGATTCTGAAACCTAACAGGAATAATGCTAAAGCTTATATAGGAAAAGCAGTGGATTATGTAGCAAGTATGCTAATTCAGTGATAACATACAACCTTTGTCACAGGCACCATTTACTACTGGAAATGGGGGAGGGGGGGAGGCAGGAGGGTAGAAGGGTTCCAAACGGTGGAAAGGTGTGTTTTTGTTCTGTTATGTCTGTAATTAGATAGCTTTGGGAGTTGATATGTATAACTTCACCTCTGGATCTCATACGATAACTGTGGGAATCAGTACATGATAGTTTTGTTGATAGAAGATAGCCTTGTTGTTACAAGGGCAATTCTGCAGAGGTCAGCTTGTTCTTGTAACGGGGAGAGATAATAAGATAGTTTACCTCACTGGGCCTACTCCTGAATCATTGCCAGACATAGGGTCATTGTTTGGGTTTTAATGGTTCAGAGTGAGTGTAAATAGTAATTGTTTCTGTTCTGGCCAGAAACCCTGGGGACCTTCCCCTCCCAGATTGATTTTTTTTTCTTTTTTTGAGTAGGTAAAAGAGGCTTTTTTTTTTGCCTCATTTCTTTACCTAGCCTTAATCACTAAGTGGATGTTGCTTCAGACAAACTGAGACCCAGGAAAGACCTTAGCTTAAAAAGGCCTAAGTCAATACAACCATTCTGGAGAGCAATTTGGAGCTATGCCCAAAGGGTTATTAAACTGTGCCTTTGATCCAGCAATACCACTACTAGGTCTGTGTCCCAAAGAGATCATAAAAACGGGAAAAGGACCCACATGTACAAAAATATATATAGCAGCTCTTTTCGTGGTTGGAAAGAATTGACAACTGAGGGGATGCCCATCCATTGGGGACTGGCTGAGCAAGCTGAGGTATATGAATGTGATGGAATACTACTGTTCCATAAGGAATGATGATGACCAGGCCAATTTTAGAAAAGGAAAAAAAACCTGGAAAGACTTACGTGAACTGATGCTAAGTGAAGTGAGCAGAACCAGGAGAACATTATACACAGTAACAGCAACGTTGTGCAATGACCAACTTTGATAGACTTAGCTCTTCTCAGTAGCAAGGATCTAAAACAGTTCCAAAAGACTCATGATGGAAAATGCCATCCACATCCAGAAAAAGAACCATGGAGTTTGAATGCAGATGGAAGCATACTACTTTCTCTTTTTTTTCTTTCTCGGGGTTTTTCCCTTTTGTCCCGATTTTTTTTTCACAACATGATAAATGTGGTAATATGGTTAATATGATTGTACATGTATAGCCTATGTCAAATTGCATGCCATCTTGGAGAGGGAGGGGGGAAGGGAGGAAGAAAATTTAGAAATCAAAGTCATTAAAGTGAATGTTGAAAATTTAAAATTTTTTTTTAAAGGCCAAGGTATCCTACTGCATCTGGGGCGAACTTCAGTTATCCTGATCTATGTCTTGCCACTGGACCCAGATGGCTCTGGAGGAGAAAGTGAAGCTGGTGACTTTGCACAGTCTTGCTTCACTTAAGTCCAATTCACTTACAAGCCAAGACATCATCTTACTGAGGTTATTGTCCTTTTCCAGAATGAAGGACAAACAACACTTTATCCTTCCAGAGTAGTACCTAGGAGACTGGTGTGATTAATTGATCAAAGGAGTAAACTTCCTTTCTTTGTTTCTGAGAAGTGAAAACAGTGGAGGCCCACAGACAATATCTCAGGGCTAAATGTAATTAACTGAGATGCTAAGGAGAAAGCTGAGAGAGAAGAAATCACTGAGGTGTGGGTCTTGCGAGATGAAGGGGGCTAAGAAGGGGATTTTCCCATTGTGCTACTCATTCTGAAAGTGAAAATTTATACCTTCTTAGTGTTAATGGGAAAGGGGAGGAGGTCCCTTAGAAAATTACTTGGAGCCAGCACCAGTTCATTTTGAGTCATTCTTGCTCAGAGCAGAGATTCCAACTGAAGCTGTGTTCCCCACTGAGAAGCCTCCTGGAAGGACGTTAGAGATAGGTTTCCTCCTGGGGAGATGCCTTTTTCTTTGACTTCTATGAAAATGGAGAGGTAGTCTATTTGAGGGACTGAGGAGAGATTGGCTTTGACAAAGTGCCTGAGGCATGGTTATAGTTACAAATTCCTTGCCCTGCCTAATCCCCAGTTTCCTGTTTTGTAAAAACAAGGCTTTTCCTTCCTACAATATCCTAACTGCCACAGGTTTATTAAAAAAAAACAGAAATCAGAGACTGGCAGTTAGTAGGCCGTGAGGTGAGCAGGATATCACAGGAGACCAGGTCCACTCAAGGGGAGCAGTGTCTGGATTTTGATCCCCTGATAATTAAAAGTGGAGTATCTGGGCTAGCTAGAATGGGTATTCACATTGAATTCATTAGGGAGCTCCTGAGCTAGGCTCCGAAAGACATTGGAGTAATCCCATATTGGTTGTTTTCACTGGGGGGACCTACAATGCACTCAACAGGCAGCCGACAAGCCAATACGGAGCACTTAGCATACACCAATCTGTGTGCTAAGTGCCAGGGAATTAGATGAAGAACCAGTCAAAAAGACTGGGAAGGAGGAGTTAGACCCCTAGAAGGAGACCTGGGAGAAGGCAGCGTTATGAGGGAGAGTTTATTTGATGGGGGAAAAGAGGGGTCTGTTTGTAGGCAGGAGCCAGTAGGTTGGGAAAGGATAGAGATTAGAGACAGGGGCATGCCTGAATGTACAGTCTGATGGGCAAGGATGGAAGGGTTGGGATGAATGGTAACTCTCGAGAGGTTTGTCCTGACAGAGAGAAGGGTTACTCTTCCAGAGAGAGAGGTAAGAGAAAACATCTTCCTGAGGAAGGGGTGGGGAGATTGATTTGAAGGAAGAATATAGGCAAAGGACTCTTGATCCAATGACTCAATATCATCCGGCTCAGAATGAGGTAGCATACTAAACTGAGGAAACAGGAGAGGACATGTTGAAGATGGCTTGAGGGTGAAAATGTTTATGGTAGCTGCCATGGGGAATTGGATTATGAATCAAATACAGAGTTGTGAAAGGATTAGTAAATGCTTACAAATTGAAAGAAATTTAGAAGTAATGATTTTTTTCTCTTTTTACCATGATATTTTCCACATGATTTTGTTCATACATTGGAAACAGTTGACTATACTCTATCCTTAGAAAATTCATTCTCTGTTTCTCCCTTTTCACAATCTAAATCTTAAGAAAAAAGAAATATGTAGTCTTTCTCTTCACCTTACCAAGATGGCAGCTATGTTTGAGCACACCCACAGCCAAGTTGTAGAGAGAAATGAAAACATGACAGAAGTGAGAGACAAAGAAAAAGAATTAGAGAAAGAAACTTAATCAAGCAGCAACAAACAAACAAATAAATAAATATAGCACATCTTTCAGCTCCACGGTGGCCAAAGGGGCCACCATGCTGACATTGAGGTGACCCAGAGAGTGGTACAAGCAAAGCGGTTCTGATTGACTTTCCTTTCTTTGGGCTGACTTTGCTACCTGTTTGTCTGAGAAAAATTTGAGATTTGGAAGATGCTCTTGTATGTCCCAGCCTCCCACTTACTGAAGAGGGCAATTAAACTAAAGACAACAACAAGGTTGACACATGGCAAGCATGACTGCAGCAACGAATACAGTGAGAGTTGCAGTCACCACAACCACGCTATGATGTCTACAGCAATGGCAATGCTGGCAGCCATGGTGGGTATGTAGAAGAGGTTCTGGGAGAGGCAAGGGATAACAATGTTTGAAATAATTGTTGTGGTGAATGGAGAATTGAAAGGATTAAGGACATATGCAAAGATTCTCTTTGTGCAGTGAAGGCTCAGCAGGAATGTTGTAACTTATATTTGTATTGAACCCAGTGCACAGTTCCATGACTTTCTCCAGCACAGAGAAAATTGTGTGTTGAATAGCACAGGAACAGGAGCAAAAATGGTGGCTGTGGTGGGACTAACCTATGGTTTCTGGTTAAAAAGGCATGATGTAAAATAGGACAAGGGGCAAAGCATTCCCCTCTAGAGAATAAAGGAGGATTGAACTGAGCTGCCCATCAGGTGTCTTTTGTTTGTTTGTTTTGGGGGGGGTTTGGAGGCAATAGGACTTAAGTGATTTGCCCAAAGTCATACAACTAGCAAGTGTCTGAGGTCAGAGTTGAACACAGGTCCTTCTGATTCTAGGACTGATTGATGATCTATGCACTGTACCACCTGGCTGCCCCTCTGATGAGTCAGTCTTTAAAAGTCTGACCAGGCTTTTCTAGAAAGCCTTGTACCCTAGCCAAAGGATTTTCTCCTTCCTGGAAGCAGTGTCTCCCAATGTAGCTGGCCAGGACAGTCTAGAGGCCAAGAATGTCATCTTGGTCAAAAGGACTAGTACTTGCTTGGGCCTCTTCTTACTCAAAATGGATAGATTCTAGAATATAGTAATTTAAATCAGGAAACCGGGCAATTCCTGTCAAAATCATATTTACACACTGACTCTTTACCTTACAATACAAACAGTGGTTTTAAATGTATGTCACTGAGTCCTGTATCATAGAAATAGCCTGGACTTGGAGTCCTAGGATGGGGAAAAAAAAGTTTTAGAGCTTCTCTGGTCCAACAATTCTCTTTTTGCTGAAGACAAAACTGAGAGAGGCAGAGAGTTTCAATTACTTGCACAAGATCACACAGTGAAACTGATAAGCTAGATGCCAATCCAGTTGCTCTGTCTCTGAGCTGTATCTAAGTGCTCTTTCCATAGCACTACATTGCCTCTTTTGATTGGCCTTGTTCATGGGAAGGCAAGCATTCCCCAGAGCAGGGTATTCTCATCTGCCTAAAAGCTTCCCTTTTTGCTGGGGGACATGGGACTTCCTGTATCATCCTTCTCATGAATCTCTCATCAAGAGCATATTTAAAGCAGCTTACAAAAATAATGAAAGGCTTGCTTAATTCTTAAAATATTTAAGTGATTCAAAAGTAATTATCATTATATTCTGTTCCTTTTTTCCCCTTGACATTTTCCATATAATTTTGTTCAAATGTTGAGGCTTTGACTCAGCCCTGTGCACAGCATGATCCAGCCTATTTCTTCCCTTTCACAGCTAAACTTGCAGAACAAGGAATGCACACAGGTTCCCTCCAATTTCACAACCTGGGAGCTACATTTGAGCTTACCCACAAAAGGTTATGGAGAAAGGTTAAAAGAAAGATTTGAAAGTGAGAGAAAAGGAGAAAGAATTGAAGAAAAAGAATAAATCAAGCAGCCGACAAAAAGATAATGAAAACGCCATTCAGGCTCCATTTTGCTTTCAAGTGTCCCAGAGAGTGGTAGACATGAAAAGAGTTGTAATGAAGAATTGACTGTGCTTCCTTCATCACTCTAGTTTATTCAGCAACAATTTGAAGATTTGGAAGATGCCCTTATATGTCCTAACCTTTCACCTTCCTACCAGATTGATGAAAGTAAAGACAATACCAATGTCCAGGTGACAGCAAAGACAAGCATGAAAACACGTCAAGTATGGTAGCAATGATAGCCATAATAGACACCAGTGGTGTCTACAGAAATGGCAGGGTTGAAGGACATAACAGAAATGGAGAAGTGGTGCTTCGTGGAAGTCTGAGAGTGGATGAAAATGTTTGGAATAGTTGCTGTGATGAATGGGTGAATGAATCTGTTAGAGAAGGTTTAAAAAAGGGTTAATTTTTGTAATGTTGAATTGATAATTACGTATTTTATTTTGACCATGACATTTCCCATATAACTGTGTTCCATTGTTGAAACCACTTGACTACACCCTCTTCTCACATGATCCATCCTTTTTTTCTTCCCTTTCAAAATCAAATTCCAAGAACAAGGAATTTGCACTGGTTGCTTCCACCTTCAAAACATGCAACTAAATTTGAGTGCAACCAAAGGAAAGCTATAGAAAGAGGTGGAAAAATTGCTCAGTAGGTAGAATCCTAAATATTTTATAACGTCTACAGTAACTTTAAATGGAATTTCTGTTTCTATCTCTTGCTGTTGGGCTTTGTTGGTAATAATGAATTCTTCATCAGCACTCTGTTCATTTCTACTGTTCTCTGGATCATTTGAAACTGTCACAGTGGCCTCTATGGCCAACATGGGGCCTGAGGTTGAGACTTCATTATCTCCAGGTTGGTTTCTTGATTCCTTCTTTTTCTATAATTCTTCTTCCTTCTCTTCCACTTCCACAACTTTTCCACTTCTTTCTACAGTTTGTCTTTTGGGATTCTGAAACATCTCTGCCTGGTTGAGAAAGTGGAGGTAAGCAATGTGCATTGCTTTGGAAGTTGGACTTTGAAAAGGATGAAGAAGAAAATAGATTATCATTAGAGAATAGGGTCATGTGTTCTCAACCATGAACAAAATTACATGGAAAATATTATGGTGACAAGCAAAAATGTTACTTTTAAATTGCTTTCTATTTGTGTAAGCATTTATTAGTCCTTTCACAACTCTGTATTTGATTCATAATCTCACTTCCCATAGCAACTAGCCTAAACATTTCCATTCCTCCCCTCCAGCCTATCTTAGGATGCCCTCTCCCTATTTCTTCAGCTTAAGGCCATTACCTCCTTCTGAAACTGCATGACATTGAAGCCATTGGATGAAGGTCCCTCTACCTATCTTTTTCCTCTCAAGTCAATTAGATGTTTTCCCCCACCTCCCTCCCTCTCTCTCTCTCTCTCTCTCTCTCTCTCTCTCTCTCTCTCTCTCTCTCTCTCTCTCTCTGTAACCCTTCTACCTTCTACAGGCATATCCTAACCCTTCCCTCTTTTCCCCAGTAGATTGTGCTTTCTATCATCCTCACTGTCTCTAATCTTTATCCTCTCCCAACCTACAAACAGGCCCGTCACTTCCCCCATCCTTCACAAATTTTCATGGAGGCTAACTCAGGAGCACCCCCCCCCATGCATTCAGTGTGAATACCCTTTCTAGCTAGCCCAGATACCCCACACTTCATTAGCAGGGGATCCATTTAGAGACACTGCTCTTCTTGAATGGCCCTGGTCTCCTGTCATCATCCTGTTCACCCCTTGGCCTAGGAACTGCCAGGCTGTAGATTGTTGAAGTGAAAGAGAAAAAAGTACACAAATAGTGTACATGAAGAAGTCAATTAAGCCAAAAGTTGAGGCTTCCATTCAGATAAATCATGTCACTTTCAAGTGGCCCAGAGAACAATGAAAGTGAAATGAATTCTGATGAAGGATTCTTTGGGTGTCCTTTGCCATCCCAACAGGTCCCAGGACAATTTGCAGATTTGGAAGATGCTTTTATGTGTCTGAAGTTCCCATCTGGCTACTAGATATGGAGCAATAGGGAGTCAGACCTTAATGGATGGGTGGAGCCAGAGCTGTGTCCCAGCTGTAGTTCCTCTTCTCTCATTACCTTTGCGGATTGAGCTGAGGGACACCTGGTGCAACTTTCCTAGGAGAGCAGGAAACCCCAGGCAGCCAATGTGCCCTCAGATGCTAGAGCCTCCCAGTGACCAGCAGAGATGCTGCAAGGGGGGTGATGGTGAGGCAAGTTGGGACACTTACCTCTGGGGCTTTCCTCAGATTCTCTCCCTCTTTCTCTCCTGCCTTTCTTTTCCACTAGTGCCTAATTGGAGAGAAGGGAAGTCTTTACACTAGGGAAGCCAGTATCAATGCACCTGCCTGCCCTATCCCTTTCTAAGGCAGTTTTTAAGGCCATGAAAAAGTCAGGCAAATGCCAAGAATCTCCCCTCCACCCCAAACAACAAAGCCAATAAATGCCCATGTGGCAAATTTATACAGAAAAGTCCATTCCCCAAAGAAGAGATAAGAGAAGACATCCCAACCCTATTATTTTGCAAATAATATATGTGTGTGTGTGTGTGTGTGTGTATGCATGCATACATATTTGTCTCAAATGGTAGCCATCTCTAGTGCAAGAGGGGTGGGAGTGGAGAAAATGGGACAAAGACATTTACACAGAAACTTTAGCATAGATTTAAAAGGAGTAGCAAGTTGTACATAATAGATTAAGAGTTTCCAGTGCAATCTTCATGTGCAATGAAGAGTTAGATGCCCTCAGGAAGTATCTCAGGCATAGAGGTGTTTAGATGGTGTCAGGGGGGAGTGGGGAGGGTGGAGATGGTGTGGAAGGGAAGAGAGCACTGAGGTTTGAATCTGGGAGAAGGGATTGGGGAAACAAAAGGATTTTTCTTCTATGGCACTCATTCTGAGGATGGGAGTTCACACCTTCTAAATGTAAATTTTACATGGCAGGAGATCCTTGGGAGAGAGCATATAAAAGGCTGGCACAAGCCCGTGTTCACACCTGATTCCTGCTCAGAGCAGAGATTGCAATTGCAGTGAGAAACCCCCAACAAGAATATCACAGGTAAGTTTGCTCCTGGGGAAATGCCTTTTCCTTTGACTTCTATGGAAGTGGAGAGGTAGTCTGTTTGAGGGACTGAGGAGAGATAGCCTGTGTAGAGGACTTGGAGTCAATGGAGTTACTGAGTTTGACTCAGTGCTTGGGACATGGTCCCAGGTCCCTGACTAGGGTCAAATTCCTGGCCTGTGTAAATTCAGTTCCATCCTCTGTCAAAGTTAGGCATTTCCTGCCTGCAATAGCCTCACTGTCTTACAGCTGTTTAGCATCAAACTGTAGAAAGAAGTGGAAAAGTTGTGGAAGTGGAAGAGAAGGAAGAAGAATTATAGAAAAAGAAGGAATCAAGAAACCAACCTGGAGATAATGAAGTCTCAACCTCAGGCCCCATGTTGGTCATAGAGGCCACTGTGACAATTTCAAATGATCCAGAGAACAGTAGAAATGAACAGAGTGCTGATGAAGAATTCATTATTACCAACAAAGCCCAACAGCAAGAGATAGAAACAGAAATTCCATTTAAAGTTACTGTAGACGTTATAAAATATTTAGGATTCTACCTACTGAAACAAAACCAGGAACTATATGAACACAATTACAAAACACTTTTCACACAAATAAAATCAGATCTAAATAACTGAAAAAATATCAGTTCCTTGTGGGTAGGCCAAGCTAATGTAATAAAAATGACAATTCTACCTAAACTAATTTAGTTATTCAGTGCCATACCAATCAAACTACAAAAAAAATTATTTTGTAGAGCTAAAGAAAATAACAAGATTCATTTGGAATAACAAAAGGTCCAGAATATCAAGGGAACTAATGAAAAGAAATGCAGGGGAAGGTGGCCTAGCTGTTCCAGAACTTAAATTGTATTATAAGGCAGCAGTCATCAAAACTGCTAGGTACTGGCTAAGAAATAGAGTGGTGGATCAGTGGAATAGGTTAAGTATGCAAGACACAGTAGCCAATGACCATCATAATCTATTATTTGACAAACCCAAAGACCCCAGCTTCTGGGACAAGAACTCACTCTTTGACAAAAATTGCTGGAAAAACTGGAAAAGAGCTTGGCAGAAACTAGGCATAGATCAAAATCTCACACCATATACCAAAATAAAGTTAAAATGGGTTCATGATTTAGATATAAAGGCCGATACTGTAAGCAAACTGGGAGAGAAAGAAATAGTATACCTACAGATTTATGGAAAACAGAAGAATTCATGATCAAACAGGAGAGAGAGAACATTACAAAATGCAAAATGGATAACTTTGATTACATTAAATTGAAAAGTTTTTGCACAAACAAAGCCAATGCAACCAAGATTAGGAGGGAAGCAAAAAACTGAAAGACTTTTTACAACCAGTCTCTCTGATTCTGATTCTCTAAAATGTATAGAGAATTAAGTCAAATTTATAAGACTACAAGTCATTCCCCAATTGATAAATGGTCAAAGGATATGAACAGAGAGTTCTCAGATGAAGAAATTAAAGCCATCTATAGTCATATGAAAAAATGCTCTAAATCACTATTGATTAGAGAAATGCAAATCAAAACAACTCTGAGGTACCATATCACACCTATCAGATTGGCCAACATGACAAAACAGGAAAATGATAAATGTTGAAGATGTGGGAAAATTGGAACACTAATGCATTATTGGTGGAGTTGTGAAATGATACAATCATTTTGGAGAACAATTTGGAACTATGCCCAATGGGTTATAAAAATGTACATACACTTTGACCCAGCAATAGCACTTCTAGGGCTATATCCCAGAGAGATCATACAAATGGGAAAAGGACCTACATCTACAAAAATATTTATAGCAGCTCTTTTTGTGGTGGCAAAGAATTGGAAATTGAGAGGATGCCCATGAATTGGGTAATGGCTGAGCAAGTTGTGGTATATGAATGTAATGGAATACTATTGTGCTGTAAGAAATGATGAACAGGTTGACTTCAGAAAAACCTGGAAAGACTTGTATGATCTGATGCTGAGTGAAGTGAGCAGAACCAGGAGAACATTGTACGCGGTTACAGACATGTTGTGCAATGACTTATATTGATAGACTTAACCCTTCTTGGCAATATAAGGATCTAAGACATCTCCAAAGGCCTCATGATGGAAAATGCTATCCACATATGAATAGAGAACTATGGAGTTTGAATGCAGATCAAAGCATACTATTTGCTATTTTTTTTCTTCTGTTGTGTTTTGTTTCCTCTTTCTGGTGTTTCCTCCTATTAGTTTTAATTCTTACTTATAACATCACTAATGTGAAAATATGTTTAATAGGAATGTATATGTATAGCCTATATCACATTGAAAGACATCTTGGGGAGGGAGGTGTGAAGGAAAGGGGAGAAAAAATTAAAATTCAAAAGCTTATGGAAGTTATTGTTGATAATTCAAAATAAATTAATTTTAAAAAATAATTCATCATGCTTCCTTTGCCACTCTCGTTGACATTTTGAAGACTTGAAAGCTGCCCTCATGTGTCCTGACCTCCCACCTGCCTACCAGATTAATGACAATAAAGACAAGAGCAGTGATGACAATGGTGTTGACAATTCTGATTACAGTAATGATAAGTATGGGCTCTGATTCTCATAATCTAGCCACTACTCAGATTTTTACAATCTAGCCAATAGCCCACAGATGCTCAGATTCCTTAAGAGTCTGGCTAAAATGTCAGATCTTTAATAAACCTTGTTTTTGGCTGAAAGAAAGTTTGGGTTGACTTCTTTTGCGCAGGACCTGCATGTCATGATTTTGGGTTTCCAGCCCCCCCTCACCTCTAGACCTCACCATATGGTTCCCTGAACCAGGAAAAACTGCCTAATACCAAGCAATGATGCGTATGACATCAGAAGTGATCACAGTGACTATCACAGCCATGAAGATCATGCCAATGATGTCTACAGCAATGGCTGTGGTGAATATGTCAGGAAGTGCTGGGAGAGGCTTGAGAAAGGCACAAAATGTTGAGAACAGAGTAAGTCTGTTAGGGAGGGTAAAAAAGGACTGGTTAATTTGGAAGTAATTCAGAAGTATTAATATTGAGATTTTCTTCATTTGTAAATATGGTTTTCCTCACACAATTTTGTGCCTGTGTTGAGACCACTTAAGTATACCCTCTCCTCAATGACCCATACTCCATTCTGTCTCTTTCACAGTCAAATTCCAAGAACAAGGAACTCAGTCAAAAGGCCCACCCAAGGACCTAGAAAGCCACATGTTTCTCCACCTCTAGTTTAGAAGATTCCATGAGATTAATTGATCAAAATTCATTGTTTCTGAGAGTGAATAGTTGGATTTCCCTCAAAAAGTATCTCAGGGCAAAGGTAACTAGGTAAGGTAATTAACAAAGGTAACTAGATGAGGTGCTCAAGAGGTAACAGGGTGGGTGGGGAGGGGGGAAAGAAGGGAAGTTCAGAGGTGTAAATTCTGGGAGGTACTGGAGAGACAAAAGCATTTTTCTCCTGTAGCACTCATTCTGACAATGGGGGTTCACACCTTCTAAATGTGAAGTTGGCATGGCAAGAGATCCCTGGGAGAAAGCATATAAAAGGCCAGCACCAGTCCATTTTCAGCATTCCTGCTCAGAGCAGAGATTGCAGTTGGAGTTCTGTTCCCCCCACCCCAGAAGCCTCCAGTAAGGACATCAAAGGTAAGTTTCCTCCTGGGGAGATGCCTTTTTCTTTGACTTCTATGAAAATGGAGAGGTAGTTTGTTTGAGGGACTGAGGAGAAACAGGGGGACTTAGGGGACTTGGAGTCAATGGAGTTACTGGGTTTGACTCAGTATTTGGGACATGGTTCTAGGTCCCTGACTAGGGTCAAATTCCTTGCCTGCCTAAACTTCAGTTCCATCCTCTGTCAAAATAGGGCATTTCCTGCCTGCAATAGCCTCACTCTCTCACAGCAATTTAGTATCAGCAACCTAGAGCCTGGCAGTGAGTAGGCCAGGACTTGAGGGGGATGGTGACAGGAGACCACGGCCATTTGAGGGGAGCAGTGTCTCTAAATGGATCCCCTCCTAATGAGGTGGGGAGTGTCTGGACTAGCTCAGAAAGGGTAATCCCATGGAATCCCTAGGGGAGTTCCAGAGCTGGCCTCCATGAGAATTTGTGAAGGATGGGGAAAGTGATGGGCCTGTTTGTAGAAAGAGGGTTAGCTGGAAAGACTTTATGGACTGATGCTGAGTAAAGAGCAGAAGCAGGCTGTTACATAGTAACAGCCACATTTGATAGATTTAGCTGTTCTCAGCAATGTAAGGATCTCAGACATCTCCAAAGGTCTCATGATGGAAAATTCTATCCATACCCAGAGAAAGAACTATGGAGTTTGAATGCAGATCAAAGCATACTATTTGCTCCTTTTTTCTGTTTTTTGGAATGCATATGTAAAGCCTATATCAGATTTCTCCCCTTATTGGGAAGGGAGGGGAAGAAAACTTTTAAACTCAAAAGCTTGTGGAAGTGATTGTTGATAAAAATAAAAATAAATTAATAAAAATTTTAAAACATTCAACAAAAAAAAGGTTAGGAGGCAGTAGGTTGGGAGAGAATAAAGATTAGAGACTGTGGGGATTATAGAATGCACAATCTGTTGGGGAAAAGAGGGAAGGGTTGGGCTTTGTCTTAGCAGGGAGAAGCATTACTTTTCAGGAGAAAGAGAGGTGAGGAAGACATCTAATTGATTTGAGAGGAAGAAGATAGGTAGAGGGACTTCCATGCAATGACATCAATGTCACCTAGTTCACAATGAGGCAATGGCCTGGAGCTGAGGAAATAGGGAGAGGACATGCTAAGAAAGGCTGAAGGGAAGGGGTGGAAATGTTTAGGATAGCTGCTATGGAGAGTGAGATGGGGAATCAAATACAAAATTCTGAAAGGACTGGTAAATGCATCCAAAATTTAAAGCCTCTAATGATTTAAAACCTCTAATGATAATCTCTTTTCTTCATCTTTTTCAAAGTTCAACTTCTAGAAAAAGGCAGCACACAGTGCTTACCTCCACTTTCTAAGCAGAAATATTTCAGAATTACAAAAGACAAACTGTAGAAAGAAGTGAAATTGTGGCAATGGGAGAGCAGGAAGAAGAATTACAGAAAGAGAAGGGATCAAGAAGTCAACCTGAAGATAATGAAGTCTCATCCTCAGGCTCCATAGGGGACACCATGAGAATTTCAAGTGACCCAGAGAATAGTGGAAGTGAACACAGTTCTGATGATGAATTCATTTTGGTTCTTTTGCCACCCAACTTTGTCCCAGGACATTTTGAATACTTGGAAGATGCCCTTATGTGTCCTGACCTCCCTCCTGCCTACCAGACTGATGACAGTAAAGACAAGAGCAGTGATGACAGTGATGGTGACAATTCTGATGACAGCACTGAGAATCATGACAGTAGCAGTGATCACAGTGACAATCACAGCCATGATGGTCATGCCAATGATGTCTACAGCAATGGCTGTGGTGAGTATGTGAGGGGGTGCTGGGAGAAGCTTGAGGAGGTCTCAGAATGTTGGGAATAGAGTAAATCTGTTAGGGAGGGTAAAAAGGATTGGTGAATTTGGAAATAATTCAGAAGTATTGATATTGACATTGTCTTCATTTGTGAATATGGTTTTCCTCACACAATTTTGTTTCTGTGTTGAGACCACTTGAGTGTACCCATTCCTCAATGACCCATTCCCCCTTTCTTCTCTTTCAGTCAAACTCCACCAACAAGGAATGCATACTGTTGGCTCCCACCTTCACAACATGCAAACTGAGTTAGAACAGAGCTGCACAAATGCTGTAGAGAGAAGTGGAAGAGCTGTAGAACCGGAAGAGGAAGAGGAAGAAGTGCACAAAGAGAATGAAGCAAGTCAGCAGACAGAGCAGGAAGCCCCACCTTCAGGCTCCACTTTGGATGATGGTGGCACCATGTCTGCTTCTAGTGACCTAGAGAGCTGTGAAAGTGAAGGGAGTCCTGATGAAGAATTATTGGTGCCTTCTTTGCCCCCCTCATTTATCCCAGGACAACTGGGAGATTTTGAAGATGACCTTTTGTATCCCAGGCTCCCACCTGTCTCTCAGATACCAAGCAATAGTGAGTCAGAACTTGCCAGATGGGAGAAGACAGAGCAGCAACCCAGCTTCAGTTCCTCTTGTGATCTTTGCCTTTGTAGGTTGATCTGAGGGAGATTTGGTGCCATTTCCCAATGCCAGCAGGAAACCCAAGGCAGCTAATGTGTATTCAGACTCTAGAGCCTGCTAGTGACCAGAAGAAATGCTACAAGGGGGTTGATGGTGAAACCACCACTTACCTCTGGGGCTTTCCTCAGATTCTCTCCTGTTTTTCTTTTTCTCAAGTGGCTAGCAGGATATAAGGGAAGTCTATACACTATGAAAGTCAGTTGATCTGCACCTTCCTGCTTTCTTCCTTCTTGAGGCAGCTTTTAAGACCACTAAAAATTTAAGTTAAGAATAACCTCAAAATAATAACAATGAATGAGGCAGAATGACACACAAAAACCCATCCCCAATGAAGGGATCAGGGAAGACTCCCTAACCCACCACTTTGAAGACATGGGAGGTTTTTGGTTTGGTGTGGATTTTTTTTTTATGTGTTGATCATTTGTACTGACTTTTCTCTTCCCTTTTTACCCTCTGAAGAAAAATCATTTGTTATCTGAGATGGCTGTCTGGAAGAGGATGGGGGAGGAATGTGGGTTAAGATTCTGGTGATAGAGAGAAAAAAAAACATTTCAATAAAATTTATTTTTTAAAATCACAGCTATCTTTGTAAGTAGTTACTGTTTATGTATTTTCTCTGTTTTTTCTGACAGTATCTAAATAGGTATGACCATTGCAATCTGTGTCAGTTCTACTTACTAGAATGAGAGTGGGATTGGGAATCAAGGGAAGTCCTTGAAGTCTGAAGTCCTGAAGAGGGGTTTGAGAGTTCTTAGGTTTTCTTACACCAGTTTGAATGTGCCAGGGCTGCTGGTGCAGCAACAAGCTCTCCTGGGACTGAAGCACCTCACAGGGTGGAAGAGGATACTCTTCAGGGGCTCAGACGCTTCATAGCTCATGACCACCCAGGGTTAGTCTGTTAATGGCTGTCTGACTCGGTTTCCTCAATTCTAAAATGGGATAATAGGAGCACTTCCCTCAGAAAGTTGTTTTGAGGGTCAAATGAGATAATACTGAAGAGGGCTTGGCCAGGCACTGGCACCTATCAAGTAGATGCTTAGTAATTCCTACCTCACTTTCCTCCTTCCTCCCTTTTCTTCCTTCTTTCTCTCCTCTCTTCCCTCCATACTTTCCTTCCTTTCTTCTCTCTGCTCTAGAGACACCAGTTGATAAGAATCTAGCTTAATTTCATTATCAAACTGTTGGCAGTAGCCATCTGGAGAGAAGAATGTTTAAAAGCAAGCCCATCATCCCTTGAGTATTGAATGACTTTAAGGAAAGCCAAGCCTCCACTAAGAGAGAGAAGGATTTCTGTCCCCAGTAAACTGACACACTTTATCAATAGCCCCACTTGCTGCTTATGGATCATTGTCTTTTCTTCTTCCACTTGGACTTTCCATATATTATTCATGATGTTAACCCAAGTAGCAAACAGAAATTCCTGAAGACTGTCTTGCAAGTTGACATCAATCCTTCAACAATTCCTTCTGGGCTTTGATCATTCAACCCAACTGCCAATATTTAGATATTGACTTAGCCTCCTCTTTGGCTTGTCCAGGAAAAAAAAAAGGAGGTGAAACATTGTCAATTGCTTTATAAAAAAGCTAGGTAAACAAATTTTAGTGGATTCCCTTGATCTTACACTCTAGTGACCCTCTCAAGACAGAATATGAGATCACCACTGGTGTTATTTTTTTTATGCTAGACAATGCAGTTAAGTGACTTGCTCAGGGTCACACAGCTAGTAAGAGTCAAGTGTCTGAGGCTGGATTTGAACTCGGGTCCTCCTGACTCCACAGCCAGTACTCTATCCACTCTGCCACCTAGCTGGCCCCAGTGGTGTTTGTTGGTGATCATACTCAGCCTGTAGAATTTGACAAGCATCAAAGTCAAGGTCACTAGTTTATTACTTCAGTTTCCTGATATCACTGAACAAAATCAAGCCTTTTTTTCTCCTTCAACAGTCAGAGAGCACCTCTCCTTTTCTCTGTCATCTTTCCCTCTGGAAAAAAAAATACTTCTTTTGTTTTGACATCATCTTCCTTCCAAATCAATTTCTTCTCTCCACACCATTACATATACAATGTGTGATGTCAAAAACAACATAGAAGAAATTAACTGTCAGATCTATTGATGGGGGAAGAGATCATGATCATAGAAGAAATAGAGTGCTTCACTGGAGGCAAAATAAATGAGTATGATTACATAAAATGAACGACTTTCTGCAAAAACAAAACAAAGGCAGCTAACATTAGAAGAAAAAAACAAGACAATTAGGGAGAATGTCTTGGCCTCAAGTTTGTCTGATGAAAGTCTTTTTAGATATCTAAAGAGCTGAGTCAAAATTGGGAGGTAAAAAATAAACATTCTCCAACTGAAAAGTGGTTAGAGAATAGGAAGAGCCCATTCTCAGAGGAGGAAATCAAAGGTACTAATAGCCATATGAAAAAATGCTCTGAATAACCAATGAGTAGAGAAATGCCCATTTCAAGTGCCCTGAGGTACTACCTAGCACCCCTCAGGTAGGGAAGAGAACCAATAAGGAAAGTGAGAAGTGTTGAAGGGCTTCAGGGACAACAGGCTCTCTAGTGGGCTGTTGGTAGAGTTGTGAACTAGTCCAAGCTTTCTGGAAAGCAGTTGGGAACTATGCCCCCAAATTTATTAGACAGCACGTTCTTTGACCCAGCAAGGTATACTGCTGTCAAGTCACACAACACAATGATATTACACATTGTAACATACCAAGGAATCTTTTAATCACTTAATACTGCCACTGTCTTAAAGTTACTTATCTTTTCCCAAGCACGGGGAATGAACTCACATTCCTTTGGGTCAGACATGGGCAAAGTGCATCCTTTCCCCTCAGATCTTAGATTTTAAAGAGACTAAAGTTCCATTTTGAATCCAAATATGTTTGCTACTTTCAAATGCTTTGGAGGTTCATTTAATTGTTTAAATATTCCAGGGCTTTACAAGTGAAATAATTTGTATTTCCTGTTCAGGGCATGCCATGCACTCTACCAAATAGTTTTTCCCTCTCTCCCAGATTGCTAGATCACATGTTCCAGCTATATCATTAAGATCAAATGGACCACCACTTAATTCTCCACCTGGGAAACACCTCACTTTCCATTGACTCAGGAACACTTGTCCTGGGTTCATGAAAACATGGACAGGGTTGTTTGGATACCACCTTTCTTTGGACTCCCTGAGATCCCAAGGCTCTGAATTTTCCTCCAGAGTCTGTCCCAGCCAGTTCCTAAAAAATGGTAGTTTGATTCCTCTCCACTCGGCAACATAGATGGACTAGGTGATGAGACAAACTGAATCCCATGTCTTCCATTTGCCCTGGACATCAAAGGGCTGGAGCAAATAAAAGCTCTTCATTATCTGCTTGTCTTTCCTGAGCTTTGCTATCAACTCTTTTTGTTTTGTTTTCTCTTTCTGAGAAGTGACTTCACCACTGTATCTGTTTTAAGGAGTGGGGAGCTAAATTACCAGTCAAAGGGCACACCTAATCAAAAACTCTTCGGGTAGAATGCTGCTCTTGGGGCATCAGGAACACCTGAGTTTCAATCCTACCTCAGAAATTTAGTATGTGGGAGAACCTGGGCAAGTTACTTGAGCTACTGAGCACCCTTCAGCCTCTTTTCTCATCCATAAAATGGGTTTAATAGTACCTACTTGAAAAGGTAGTCATCAAATGCAAGGGAAATCATAAGTTTAAAGGGACCTTAGCATAGTTCAAAATGCTATATAAATATCAGCTATTAGCATAGCCATGTCTGTGTCTAGGAGAAGCCTGAGGCACATGGGCTGGGTATTCAGCTTTGAAATGAGCATGGCCCTTGTGAGCTATTGCTTGTATATTTTTCACTGAGATGGGCATGGCCCTTATCAGAAGGCACACCCTCAGCCCCAGTCACATTCATTCTGCCTGTTGTCCTAGCAGTCTACACTTCCAGGGGATTCACTCCCTTAAACTGAATCCTGTAGCCTCCCCCAGAATCTCAGCTAGCTCCATTTCCACCCCTCTCAAGGACTATTCCTGAGACTAGGGAAGCCCCTTTCTGTTTGTCCCTCCAGTACATTGTTTCCTGGTGGCATGGCTGCACCACATGGACCACAAGACACATGGGCTTCAAGGACTAGGTTGACTGATGATGATTTGACTCCCTCCATCTAGAAGCTGGTAATTGTCTAGTCCCAAGATCGGAACAGGTGAAGCTTGAGCCTGGGCTGCATTCCCTAGATGTATTGGAATGCAACTGTCAGATGGCAAGAATCTGTGTAAACACTTGGTGTGAAAGCTCTCTTCACTGAAAGAAACCAGGAGACCTCCATTCTCTAAGCACTTGACCCTTGGTAAGTGTTTAGGAGACTCGAGTTGCCACTCCCCCTTGACCGCCACATTTGCCAACAGGACCCAGCTTTGGTTTCCCCAATGAAGAAAAGGCCAGGGAGCACCAAAGAGCCCTAGGGCCATCACCTACTATGGAGCCTGAGCTAACTAAAGTTGGAAGGAGGCTATGGTGTCCAGCAGTAACTGGTTGTCTGGGATGACCATTGTGCTGGTGATGGCCTACAAAAGCTTAGTATTTGTGCTGCTGTTCATTTTTGTAAAGAGTTTTGCTATGAAGTTTCCAAGAGGCCCTCACATCCCTTTGGGGCACAACACTCCAGAGGATCTGAAGGAAGAGATTGATATCTGGCTGTCCAAAGTCCAGGTTGTAAAGTATGAACCCCAGCTTATTGAAGAGGATGATGCTAGACTTTTGCAGCTGGAGACACCAGGAAATCAACATTGATACAACTACCTGTACAGGATGAAAACACTGGGTGCCATTCATGCCTCTGAGATCCCATTCCATTCAGAAGGCTGGCATCCTCATTTCCTGATGCGCAAGAACTTCCACTCTTATCTGCTGGAGTTTGGAAACACAAGTACCCCCTTCAAGGGTGTCCTCAAAGCTCTCATTGGTACCCTGCTAAATGGCTATGAGACAGCTTGAAGTGGAACTGGAGTCTTTGGCCAGATTGAATATCTCCACTGCCAGGAAGCACCAAGTAAACTGGCTGCCCCTGTCAAAGCCCATGGTGGGAGCTCCCAGCATCAGCTAGGGATCTAACCCCTTCTTCTGAAGTTTCCTCCCCAGCAATGAGCCAGGTCACCTACCTGCCCTCCAGCCAGAAGAGTAAAAGAGCCAAGCATTTCCTAGAGCTGCAGAGTTTTAAGGATAACTACAAACACACTAGCGAGCACCCTCTGACTGAATTTGGGGATAGCCATGGTCAACATGGCTCCAATAGGAGAATCTAGTCTGTACCCAGGGATGTCTCCAGGGCAGGAGACACAGCAGCAGTAGACAGCATCGATAGCATTATGCCCAGAATTCTTGAAATGTGTGTCTGGAGATCCTTTCTTAGCTTTTATCCCTCTGGTCTGTTGAACTAAAGTTCCATGAGGCCCTCCTTCCCTCTCCAGTAGCTTTTTTATGGAGTTGAATCCACATATTTTAAATCTGTCCATGTCATTTCCTCCTTACCCCAACTTGTTTTCAATCATGGTTACTTTTTGCCATCTCCCAAAGTTAATTTTA